GCCTTAATTTCAACGCTCTATTTCTCCTTTGAATTTCGCCAGCCTCTGTCGTAAATAACGAGTAACGCCCATGTCCCCGGATGTTTCCACCGCCCTATTTGTCTTAACTGGAAAGAAAATATCTTCGGTCATATCGGAAATGTTTATTTCAACCCCCTCCGGTCTCAGGCGTAATAAAGATGGCCCCTCCCATCACAGGGCATATGTAAGCATCTGTTGTGTTCATTTTCTAAACATCGAATCCCAGTTATTACCGTAGCCAGTAAACTGTAAACCTTCAAAGGCCGATCCTTCAGACGGGGGCCGCAATATTTCATCGGGCGCTCCGTTTTTACACCGTTTCCTTTTCAAGTGGTCTGCTTGGCGAAATCATCCGTGGAAAAGGCTAAAATTAGAAAATGGACGCCCCATTTTCAAAACAGCCTGGTAACCAATGATCGATTAATCTTTGATTTATGAGCGTTCACAACAGTGATTAAGTGGTCATCAATGTATTTTCGAACCAATGTATTTACCAGTTGATCTTTTTGCAAACAAACTGAAACACTGTCAGACTTGATAACTCACTTGCTCAGCATATTAACGCAGAGTAAATAAGTACAACAACAAAATAATACGTATGTTAAATGATAGTAAAAAAAGTTTTTTAATATTTCCTCGTTGTTTTAGTAGCCTTACTCAGTAGCGCAAATGTCCAAAATAAATAAACTCGCATAATATTTTTGTTAAAAAACTGTGCTAATAAAATAAAATATTGACACAAGGGACATAAGGGCAACCACAGAACAAACTAGCGCCTTGGAGCAGCAAATACAAAAAATGTTAGGAATAACTAATCAGGGCGTCGGTGGCCGCAACGATTAGGCGTTGACTCGGCGCTCATCACTGTAAGGTCAAGGTCCCGGGTTCGAATGCAGGGCCGCTGGATTCAAACCCGACATATTTACAAATGGGCTTTTTTTCAAAAACACCGGCACTCTGAGGTGAAAAACTAACATTAAAAACAGTTCAAAGTTACAATTAATTAAGGTTTTTAGTTGAGATAAAAAAGTCAATGGCACGAGCGGGATTCGAACACGACCTTCGGCTAAATACGCGGCTGCTCTACCACTTGGGCTATCGTGACCTCGATCCAATCGGACATCAACTTCCCATCTCAACCCCACCTTTTGAGTTTACCCTCCTTTTTGCCATTTTTCAACTAAAAACCTTAATTAATTGTAATATATTAATTGGTCAAGCGGACCACGAAATTAGTGAATTTAATAGTTCAAAGTATTGGCTGCGGACCACTCAGCCATCAAACTATAATGCTGAAAATGAGCTCTTACCAATCTTGTGGAATCATGAAAACTAGAACAAGCTTTCAGAAAGGCACTGTGGATTTTTAATATTACTAAGAAAATTACAATCTATTGAAATGGAACAAACCTCATGAAATGGAATAGCCTTTAGATCTAGAAAAGAGAAAGAATATTTTACATTTTCGTATTGGTACAAAAATGTATCACATAGTTGATTTGAAGTAGAAGGGCGATATAAAAATACTAAAAAATGGAAAGTTTCAAAAATTTTGTTTCGCGAAACCAGAGCGTATTCACAACAAGTGGGTATACGTGTCCGATATTCTGGAGTGCAGAATCACAAAAAAAAGTTTGGTCATAATCCGTGACCCACCAATCTGGTTGTCTATCCCTTTGTAAGTAACTAGGACGTACTATTCGCTGGACAGCTGAAGTGTTTGGGGAATTCAACACCCCTGATTCCTAATATTCCGTTATCATCATCTTCCCAGGCTTTGGCACCATCGTCGTGGACTACTCAACCTGCATTACTAGTCCCTCCTTATAGCCTTTGAGAACTTTACAGATGTCCATAACACCGAAATTTTAGAACGGATTTGAGTATCTAAGCATCTAGGTACATAGGTACTAAGGCTTGCTTGTAGTATTCCAAATTACTTTGTCCGCCTGAAATTCGACCTGATCCACCTCAAATGCTATATAGTCAAGTCAGTGTTCACATGATTGAAAAAATTCTTTCGGTGAAATCAGAAAAAATGCTAAGAATTTGCTACACTCTCATATGTAACCTCGGCATTCTCTACAACTAGGTTCCTTTTGATTTAAAATTCTTTTACTCGTTACTTTGTAAATAAATATTTCAAAACTATTTTTGTGTCGACTGGGATTTATATGGTGTTCGAGAAGAAGAATAATAAGAAGAAGAGTTTGAAAGTTATTTCTTCCCTTGCATAAAAGGATCTGCAATTAATTCGAAAAACGCGGAATGTTACCTATAATTTAATGTATTAGTTCGTTAAAGTTTAAAAGGATGGGGTGGTGGAGGACGTTCTCACATGCTCATTACAACTGTTTTCGTTAATTTCAATCCTTGGAGGGATAACGAGGGCGGAGGAAACGATAAATTAGGGAACAATGAGCACAATGACGCAATTCTCAAATCATTATGGATCCATGAAAGCTGGAAAAAAGTGGATGAGAAGTGATTGTTGAAAGGGATCTATTGTTGCATAAGGGAGATAACAAATCTAGTAGAAAGTACTGGATCTAATTAACTGAGTTGTAATTACAAATCTAGGTTCTGCGAGATAAGTGCCCGAAACGAGAACGGTGCTCCTTCAGACTGATCCTTGGGGCTATAAATAAAATACCTGATACATTAATTGTCGTTTTATACCACACCTCACTAACATTACAAAATTACACACACTATGTTTTGAAAAATTAAACGTTGTTGAAAGTCGTTGGAGGTACAGCAGCAGCCAGGTTGGATTACAGCTTTTTTACCCTCTCTAATAAGTTTTTTTTGTTAACACGAACCAAGAAATTGTTTCAACCATAATTAATCCTTGCTTTTTCAGTAAATGAATTGTTTAGTTTTGAAAGGTCACATGTCCATTTTTTTTAGAAATTTAGGTTTTGGCGCCATGTGGTTTCACTACTGTAGAACTGTTTACAATTGAAACGGTACATCTTCATCTGCTACATTGCAGAGTTATAAGCATTGTAAATAGTCATTTAGTGATGAAATGGCTCACGTCCAGGACATGTGTCCTACTAAACGTAGGGTTGAAGGCTTATTGTTTGTTTAAAAAAATTAACTTTTAATCGCAGTCACACATTACTGCTCTTTTTATTGGCGCTTTCTGAAGTGGATGTGGAAATCGAGCAGTATTTCCCTGTGAAAGATCACTCTTTCCTTCCTTGGGATAGGGCGTTTGGTTTGGTTAAAAGGAAATTGAGAAGAATCGATCGTGTCTACAATCCAAAGCAGTATACTGATCTACGCAAGTTATTACAACATTGAAGCAATTATACGGAGGACAATGGCATCAACATGGATTTCAAAAACTGGTGGCCAAAGCTTTACAAAAAACCAACTGTCCCTGTTGAGGAATTGGCATTGCAAAGAAGAAATAATATTGAGAAAATAAGGTGCATAATATCGTATTATTATTATTTGAGATGAGGAAAGTTGTGTTGAAGTTAGTACAATAAAAGAGCTGGTGATGAGAACCTTAAAACTCAGAAAACAGAACATTGGAGCTTCAATCCTAACAAAAATGCTTTTGCTGAAATGAGTGCTATTAGTGCGTTTAAAATAGAAGACATTAAGAAAGTTCTACAGTACATTACTGAAAGTGAAAAAGATTTTACAACATCTTGATATCACGACCAACATATGGATCCTGATGAGGACGAGACTTGATTAAAATCATGTTTTAATGTACCTTGCATTAAAAACATAGTGTTTATATTATTTTACTATTCTGCCTTATACTGATAATTTTTTTTAGAAAATACAACATTTAAGATCACTTTTAAATGAAGTATTTTGAAAATCCATGAGTTTAGTGACGAAATGCCATCACTTATCATGTCCACAACAGAAAAGTTGCTGCAAATAAGCTTCAAATTCTTAAAAAATAATGAAAATTCATCATACTTGCTTGCTATTACCTTATAATTATTATTAATTTAAGCAAACGCTGAAAAAAATGAACAGGCGAGAAGAGGGTCAGTTTTTGTGCTGTGGTGTAAATTAGGAAAAGTGGACAGTGCCCCCAAATAAAACTGGTCAATTTATTGTATTAGTTAGCTTAATGCTAAATACTAGTACTTAACCTAAGCTAGTTAAGTAATTTTATTTTATATAAAACATCGACGTTAAAACAAAATCAGAAGAAAATGTTAATATTTGAAATTTTTTTGTTCAATTTAAGATGTCAAATTGTTTTATTACTATAAGAAAATTAATTCTGATGAAATTCCAACTTTCAAAATTAATTGACATTTAAAGCTTAGATGAGTATGTTTCTACAAATATCATTAGGTACCAGCACTTAATAATCTTTCTTTATGCTGCTGAAACATGAAACATAGATTTGCGTTTAACTGATTTATTAAAAACAAAAAGGTTGAAATATTATCTTTTTAAATTGTTCGTGTAAGTACAGACGAGATGTTGGAATGTGTTTGAAAATGTTTTGTCATTAGTTTTGGTATATTTTTTTATAAGCAGTAGGTTTTTGAAACATTGTCATGCCGGCATTCACCCCGTATGAATTATTACGCCGACTTGGGCCCAAACCAGTTTTAACACCCCAGTCCATCAAATTACCCGCATTTTCCCATCCGGCCGAGGGTTTCAATCTGGTGGATTTCACTAATCCTTTTCGGTGCGGTGTTAAGGCGGCGCGAAACGATCCTGCCGATCATCAGGCCTCGATAACTTAATATAAAAGTATTTAGGACCGGCAGATGTGTGAGTGCGAGAGGATTGAGTCACTGACTCGGAGTTAAATAATGAATTATGTGTCTCACATGTCACCCCTCGTCTTTGGGGATTATCGCGGAACCCCGACTTATCCCTTGGAAAACCACCATACCCGCTTTGGCAATGGTCTTGTCCCCGAGAAGTGAAATTAATACTCTGTCAATTAATCATATTATTTATTTACTGATTTAATAGTTAATAGTTGGTTTATGTTTTTAGTTTGTTCACGCGGGACAAGAAATATTCCATGGATGATCGACGAAATAAACATGGAGAGAATAAATTCCATATTGTTCGACCCACGTGTCCAAGCAAGCCGGTCTGTTATAAATAATTGCCTGCAAAAAATACAAAATATGAGAACAATAATATAACAGTATGACCAATCTTTTTTTTAATATACCAAATAAAACTCACATTGACACCCCTGACCGGAGGCTGTTCATACCAGACCCTCTGGTACGTGGATGCTTGACCGAAATCAGCAATTCCAAATCCGACGAGGCCGTTGTCGTACAGCGGATAAAACGGAATCAACTCGTTGCAGCTGACGTTCGTGTTCAAATTGTAAAAGTAGTGTTGTCCTGGGGAACGATTTTTAAAAATATTTCAAATTTGGAAGGGAAAACCTTAATCATTTACAATTAATTAAGGTTTTTAGTTGAGATAAAAAAGTCAATGACACGAGCGAGATTCGAACCCACGATCTTCGGCTTGATACGCCGCTGCTCTACCACTTGAGCTAACGTGACCTCGATCCACTCGGACATGAACTTCCCATCTCAACCCCACCTTTTTGAGTTCGAGTGGATCGAGGTCACGATAGCTCAAGTGGTAAAGCAGCGGCGTATCTAGCCGAAGATCGTGGGTTCGAATCCCGCTCGTGCCATTGACTTTTTTATCTCAACTAAAAACCTTAATTAATTGTAACATATTAATTGGTCAAGCGGACCACGAAATTAGTGAACTTAATTATTTACCCATTCTAGGAAAGCAATTCTGTCTGTTGAACGGCCCTATTGTAAGCTGGGACGGGTCGGGTTCCTGCCTTTGGATCTGGTAGAGCTGGCCTCTCAAGTAAACCCAAAGCCCTTCGACGACTTCGTTTAAGTTTTGCCGGCCGGCGGTCGTGAGCATTTCTATAAACATACGTTTCTGTAACTTAGCGTTATTTATGAAACAATAAACTACCTACGAGGGTTTGTAAAGTAAGCCCTGAATCCCCAGGCAGGAGTGTTGAAAATATCCGTGTAAGTAAAACCTCCAACTGAAGAATAATTGTATTTAGTCACCCCAGCAACGTCTTGTTGTAAATACTAAAAATTTAAAAACATTAAGTTGGGCAAACATTTGACTATATAAACATTTTTAACGTTTTTGTAAAATAAGAAACAATTACTTACCGATATTTGTATTCCAGCAATGTTGCCACTGTAGTCGAACATTAGACAAACTCTCGGATCGTTTGGATAGCAGTACACGTTGACGGGAAGATTGAAATTTGCGTTGACCTGTACATAATTCGACATTAAAGGGCTGTTTGTCGTTAGTGGCAGCTCGTAGAATCCTTGCGTCGGATCGACGGCGAATCGGGCTGAAAATTAGCCGAAATTTAAGTACGTCGATTCATTTAATATATGGGTTCGTTAGAAGACCTCTCAAATCGTTCCACGGCCTTTGGCCCAAAACGGCCGGAGCGAAGCACAGCAGGAAATATAATAACTGTAACAGAATAAATTAACTCGAGTGAAACTGAATAAAGTGCACTTCTCTCGTACCTGATTCATGGCGAAGTAATGCAAAAAAAATTCCCTACTCTTTATATATATCCGTAGATATTCCAAAATATGTTAATTTCCTAGATAAACGGGACCTTAAACTAGTTCCGGCTGAAAACAAAATTTGCAATTTTGGTATTTAAAATAACATTTTATCCTTGAAAATACGCGATTTCGTAGTGTTGATAGCACAGCCAGAAAAAATTCAATCATTTCCGTTTGTGCTCTAGCATGCAAGATGATTGTTTAACAGAGTTTGGACTACCAATAAAAATAAACGGCTAAAAAGTTGGACTAGAGGTTATGGACTGGTTATGAAATTCAAACATTAAGAAATAATAACTTTAAATTAATGTCTTTAATTAAATTAATGTCTTTAAATTTACATAATTCTTATATGTGAATCAATAAAATTATTAATTACAGTACTGGCCATTTATGATAAGACAGAGCACATTTTGGTGCAAATATGATTTGATAAATCTTCTTTGTAAGCCTAGACTAAAAATGATCATTAGTATAACATAAGTAATTGGTAAATTGTAATTACTCTAAATTGCACGCATGTTTAAATAGAAATAATATAATTTTTTTTTTAAATAATTTGTAGTACATTACAACTACCTTAAAGTAGGTAATAAGTAACAGTGAGCAAGGTAATTAAAACAAAACAAAATTAAAACCAAGAGTTGAGAAAACACCCATTGGTATTACTCCAATGTTACAATAATATTGTTTGTTCAATTGATACGTGTGTCATTATCACTTTCACTATCATCACCATCACTTCCTAGGAGATCTCGCGGCCATTGTCTCTTCAGTCGGCGGGGCGGGTTTGAGGGGATTCGTCGGATGCGAGGTTTCTGATGTGTTGGTTTACGTTAGGTGGGAGGTTGTTTTGAAATTTACGGTAACGGAAACGTATTTCATCTTGTACGAAAGGAATATGTAAATCTGTATGTGTAGTTTGGTTCGATACATAAAATGGAGCATCTAGTATTTTTCGTAGTATTATAGACTGGGCAGTTTGAATTCGGTGGATATTGGAATGTTTGGCTGAACCCCACACTTCCAGTCCGTAAGTCCAAATTGGCTTAACTATGGTGTTGTAAAGCAGCCTTTTATTTTTGAGAGGTAAATTAGAGCGTTTGTCAAGAAGTCGTGCAAGAACTCTAAATCGTGTCATAACCTCCCGACGTTTCAGTCTTGTGTGAGGATTCCACGTCAGGCGTTTGTCGATGTACAATCCGAGGTACCGCACCTTGTCCGCAGTTGGGAGGGGAATATTGTTTAAGAAAACAGGGAGAGATCTTTTTACGAAGAGTGAAGGTAATGTGGGTGGATTTGTCTGTGTTAAATTTTATCCTTTTCTTTTTACACCAAGACTCTAGTAGTATGAGGTGTTGCTGGAGGTTTCGAGTGGAAATGACAAGGTCGGAGTTGCTGGAGAGAATTGCCGTATCGTCTGCAAATGTGAATGTGGGGGTTTCGGGATGAGATGGCATGTCAGCTGTGAAAATCTGGTGCAGTGTAGGGGCCAGAACGCTACCCTGAGGATCACCAGCATGGATAGGAAAATATGAAGAAAGGGAATGGCCTTCGATGACTTGGAACAATCGGTCAGTGAGGTAACTGTGCAGTACGAGATAGTAGATGGATGGAAGGATGTCCTTGAGCATGAACAGCAGGCCTGGGTGCCAAACTCGATCAAAAGCTTGGCTTATGTCAAGAAAGGCTCCGGAACAGTACTGTCCCATCTCAAGGGAGGATGAAATAATGTCTACCGCGCGGTGACACTGCTGGACAGATGAGTGGCGGTTGCGAAAATCAAATTGATGTGCTGGGATTATGTTTTGAGAATTTAGAATCGGAAGAATCCTTTTCAGTAATAGTTTTTCTAAAACTTTACCCAACGTAGGTAGTAGACTTATTGCCTGTATGAAGTTGTACATAAATGATTTGTGTGAATTAATAAAATTAAGTATTAATTTCTGTCCTAGGCATTGTATGTTGAGACATAGAGCACATATGGGTGAATATTAAATTTGATCAATTTTCTTAAAAAGCTCATGCCATTTTTTTATTTTTTTCATTTTATTTTTTTATGTGTTGGAGCAATTTTTAAATTGCAAGTATTCCAAATTGTACATATTGCTAATAAAAACACTTCAATAAATAAAAGACTGGTACTGGATTCAATGGTAGGAAAAAACATGGGAGCCTTCATGACCGTAGCAGAGAACCCTCTGTTTTAACCATTTTATTGGTAAATGTATTTGATAAATCAATAACTGTTCAAAATTTCATAAGGTAGAAAAGAAAGTGTAATGCTTCATCTCTCTTTCGGTATTGTAGTAGTGTCAATTTATTTTATTTTTATTGATCTATTTTGGTTAGTCAATCCGATGTTGAAGTTTTTTAATAAATAGTCTAAACGCTATGAAAAATGTAACAGGAGATATGTATTTTGGACATGTGCAAAAAAATATTTACTTAAAAAAGACTTTTTCACGTTTTTATTTGTCGCCTGTACATATTACTAATGATGAATGGTGGAGTGAGTGCGGTGTTCAATCCTTAAAAAAAAAAAATAGTCCCTACTCACAGTGAATTGTTTTCAACGATCCGGATTTCGAGCTTTTAGCTCATCATCAGGTTGAATAAGTTCTACAACCACGTCTTGCCATGAGATCTTTTTGACAGGATATTACTAATGTGTTCACAATATATTTTTTCACCCAGAACACTAACCCAAAAGCCTACGCTGCATCCGGAGGACACTGCCATGAGAAACCTGCCAATGCTAGCACTGAGTATGAGGGGTAACGGGCAAGCAGGTCCCTAGGTTATCGTTGGTTAAGACAAGGTGCCAGGTTCTAGGGTTGGGAATGTTGTGGATAGTGAGATTATTGACTTTGACGATATTTCTTTGGGCTGTTGATGGGAAGGATTGGATGGGCTGGATGTTAGTTGGCTTGAAAGATCCCACAATTCTACTCCATATGTGCAAAGTGGTCGCGGAATGTCTTGTACAAGGCTAGTTTTGACATTTTTAGTCCTAGAATTTTTGTAGTTGTCCAAGTCGTATGTTTATTTGTTGTATCTTAAGTGTTGTGTGGGGATTCCACGTCAGTCCGGTGTATACGTATAATCGTAAGTATTTGACATGAATAAAAACGGTATCTCTTTGCGTTGATATACAGTGTAGAGCAACACTTTTTTTTTAAATGTGAACACTGAGTACATATTTTTTCATTCAGTCTTGTCCTCCACATTTTGCAACTGTGTTCCATAAGGTGTCCTTGGATGTTGGAGGTAGCTTGAATGAGATTTGAGTTAGAAGGCAAGATTGCGGTATTAACAGCATACGTGATGATGATGGTATTGTATGTAGGTAGGTCAGCTGTATAAATATTATAAAGGATGGGACCAAAAATTATTCCTTGTGGGACGCCGACTTGCAACAATGGAGGTTTATCATTTTGAATCACTTAAATTTTTTTCTGTTAACTCAGCAGATTAACCTTTGCAAAAAAAATGACATTTTGAGCTTAGTCCATTCAGACTTTGTAAAAGGTTGACTTCAGTTTGAGTCTAATTAGGCTAATTAATTTTCGTCATAGTAATCACGGCAAAAAAGGTTTACGCATTCTATGTTGTGGCCTTGAAAGCGGCTATTGATTCCGTTGACCGAGATATTTTCATAAGCTTAAAATCTTGGGTTTTCTCCTTACATCCCGATTTGTAACAGGATTTAAATGGATCAAAAGCTTGCATGGTGCCTTGAAAGGAGATCTGATTTCTTCGAATTGAAGTACGGTATTTGACAAGGATTTCTGATGTGCCTTCTCTTATTCTACCTATACATATACCTCGTTGATTTTTGCCTAAAAGATTGGAGATCGATGGCGTTGTTTGCAAAAATTGATCCTAGGCTGATGAACAATCCCAGAAGATCTTTAAATTACAACATTGAAAATTTGAATCGTTTTACGAAATTTCAGGGTTGAAGGTTAGCTAAAAACTGAAGTTAATTCTAAAATGTTCATATTTGCTGAGCTAGATCTAGTTTAGTTGTACATATCAAAACAATAGTGTCAGTGTTATTAATGAATCTAAATACTCGGAGGTCAATCTCACTTCTCACTTACCCTTAAAGAAATATAAAAAAGCAAAAATCGCTAAGTTTGCATTTAAATACCACCGGAAACGCGGAGATCATCCATCTTCAGTCCGCCAACGCCAAAATGCCAAACTCCAAGAATTTCACTTAGTTTCTCGATTGTTTGTTAAGCTTTCGCAAGTTTAGGGACTTACATATTTGTTGGATGTGGGAAGGGTTAAACTGTTTGATCTGCCTAGTATCTCCTCAACCTATATTATTTTATTAGAGACTGAATTAGATCCAACCTTCGTTTACGCTCTTCAACCAAATATTAAGTCTGGAATAACTTAGAGGTTTTGACTTGATCGTGGAAAAACTTCAGGTCAATAAACGAAATATCGAAGTAAACCATACACATTTCTGATGTTGCTAGCATATCCAACATAACATAGAGCAGTGTGAAAGATTTATTTATAGTTTATCGGCCTATTTTAATTAATTTATCTAATTCAATAGATAAATTCTTCCTCGCATACTTATTAAAGCCAAAACAGGAAAAGATCGTTTAAACTTATTTAAATCCGTTCATTAAACCGTCAAGCATAGATTGATGGCGTGGTCTGAAAGAGTGTGAAAAATGCCGGAGATGATATCTGAACGAGACTGGACATATTTTCTATAACCGTTCCAACCTATGAATCTTACATGAGAGATGATCTGGAAGACCTCTATTTGGTAGAGCGTCCTTTATCAGGCCGACCTCTCGTATTTATTCATAATCTCTATTTATACTGAATTTTCAAAGGAGCTGACCAGGCCATGTATGGCGCAGTGCCGAG